CAGACACGTAAGGAGAGGCTGCTGAGGGAACTGGGATTGTTCAGACTTAAGAAGAGAAGGCTAAGGGAGACCTTACTACTGTCTTACTGCTAGGAGGAGATGAAGCCAGACTCTTCTCAGAGGTGTCCAGTGATAGAAGATGAAGCAACAGACAAAAGTTGGAACACAGAAAATTCATTAGACAAAGATGTATTTATGTTTTAAGCAAATATTGGAACAGGCTGCCGAAACAGGTTGTGGAATTTCTACTCTTTGGAGATATTCAAAACTCAACTGGACTTGTCCAGCCACCTGATCTAATTGACTTTGCTTTGAGCAGGGATTTAGGTGACATGACCTCCAGAGATCCCTTCTGATCTAAATTATTCTAGGATGCCATACAGTAGCTCTACATGTCCAAGATCTCCCAATCTTTCCCTGAAAAGGTCTTGGATGGGTATTGCAGGTAGTGATTGCCATATGCAGGCCTTCATTTTTCAACAATGTCAGGTTCAACCATCAATTCAGTGTCACAAGGAAATGAAATAGTAATTAGCCTTCCTTTACAAAAGTCTCAAGCTGAGCTAGAAAGCAAAAGCATCAAGTTCAATTTAAGAAGCTATGTACAGACAAAGAATGGTCAGGCTAGTTTGTACTGCTGTACCTCAGGTTTATTAGTTTTGTTCGAAAACTAAAACCAAGGGTTTTAACTAAGCAGAACAGAATGTACATGCCTGGAAAAATGAACTCCTGAGATCCATGATTGGCACAGAAAATGTAAACAAGAGATGACAGAATCCTAAAACGATTTATGTCGGAAAGGACCTTCAAAGATCATCTAGTTCCAACTCTGCTGCCATGGGCAGGGACATCTTCCACTAGATCAGGTTGCTCAAAGCCCCACCCAACCCGACCTCTAACATTTCCAGGGATGAGGCATCCACAGCTTCTCTGGGCAACCTGTTCCAGTTCTCACCACTGTCATATCCTTACGTCCAATCTAAATCTACCCTCTTTGAGTTTAAAACCATTGCCCCTTGTCCTGTTACTACAGGCCTTGGCAAAAACTCTCTCTCCATCTTTCTTATAAGCCCCTTTGTATATTGAAAGGCTGCAATAAGGTCTCCCCAGAGCCTTCTCTTCTCCAGGCTGAACAACCCCAGCTCGTTCAGCCTCTCTTCATACAACAGGTGTTCCAGCCCTCTGATCATTTTCATGGCCCTCCTCTGGACCTGTTCTGTTCTAATAATGCCTGTCTTATGCTGGGGGCTCCAGAGCTGAACACAGTACTCCAGGTGGCGTCACCAGAGCAGAGTAGAGGGGCAGAATCACCTCCCTCAACCTGCTGGCCATGCTTCTTTTGATGCAGCCCAGGATATGGTTGGTCCTCTGGGCTACAAGCGCACATTGCCGACTCATGTCCCACTTCTCATTCACCTGTACCCCCAAGTCCTTCTCTGCAGGGCTGCTCTCAATCCATTCATCCTCCCAGTCTGTTTTGATACCGGGGATTGCCCCAACCCAGGTGCAGGACCTTGCACTTGGCCTCATTGAACCTCATGAGGTTCACACTGGCTCACTTCTCAAGCCTGTGAAGGTCCCTCTGGATGGCAACTCTTCCCTCAAGTGTGTAACAACTGCACCGCTCAGCTTGGTGTCATCTGCAAACTTGAGGAGGGTGCATTCGATCCCACTGTCTATGTCACTGATGAAGATATTAAACAGTACTGGTCCCAGTACGGACCCCTGAGGGACTCCACTTGTCACCGATCTCCATTTGGACATTGAGCCGTTGACTGCAAGTCTTTGGATATAACCATCCAGCCAATTCCTTACTCATTGAATAGTTCATCCATCAAACCCATATCTCTCCAATTGTGCTACAAGGATGTTGTCTGGGACTGTATCAAAGGCCTTACAGAAGTCCAGATAGATGACATCAGTTGCTGTTCCCTTATCCACCAATAGAGTCACTCCATTGTAGAAGGCCATTGGATTAGTCAGGCATGATTAGCCCTTGGTGAAGCCATGTTGGGTGTCTCTAATCACCTCCCTGTCATCCAGATGCTTCCAGGAGGATCTGCTGCATGATCTCACTGGACACTAAGGTGAGGCTGAGTGGTCCATAGTTCCCAGAGTCCTCCTTTTTAAAAACTGGTGTGATGTTTCCCTTTTCCCAGCCACTGGAGACTTTGCCTGACTGCCACGACTTTTCAAATATGATGGAGAGCGGCTTAGCAATTACATCTGCCAGTTCCCTCTAGACCCTAGGATGCATTTCATTAGGGCCCACAGACTTGCACATTCAGGTTCCTCAGATAGTCTTGAACCTGATCTTCTCCTATGATGAGTGGGACTTCATTCCCCCAGTCCCTGCCTTGAGATCCAGGGACTTGAGAGATGCAAAAAGAACAACTGCCAGTGAAAACTGTAGCAAAAAAATTGTTTAGTACTTCAGTCTTCTCCATGTCAGTTGTCACTAGATCCCCTCCATTTCATTTATTGGGGGGGTAAAATTTCTTTTGTGTTCCTTTTCTAACGTGCCTGTAGAAGCTCTTACTATTATTCTTCACATTCCTTGCCAAATTTAGCTCCAGCTGTGCCTTAGCTTTCCTGATCCCATCCCTACACTCTCAGGCAACAGCCCTATATTATTCCCAGCATTAATTCCTGCCCCTGCTTCCACTGCCTATGCATTCCCCTCCTGTGTTTCAGTTTGACCAGGAGGGCCTTACTCAGCCATGTCTCCTGCCTTCCTTGCCTGACTTCTTGCACATGGGAATCAATTGTTCTTGTGCTCTAAGAAAAAAAAGTTTTAAATAGCTGTCAGCTCTCTTCTGCTCCTTTATCCCTGAAAGTGGTCTGCCAGGGTGCCCCATCCACCAGTCCCTTAAACAACTGAAAGTTCACTTTCCTAAGGTTGAGTCCTGACTATACATTTCACCTAGCCTTTGTCCCTCGAGATCATGAATTCCACCAGGACATGATCACTACAGCTCAGGCTACCACCAGCCTTGACCTTTCCAGTAAGTTCCTCTGCGTTGGTGAGCAACAGGTGTACTAATGCATCTCCTCTGGTTAGGCTTTTTATCACCTAGATTAGGAAGTTATCCTCAATGCACTCCAAGAGTATTCTAGACTGCTTGCAGCTTGCTGTGCTGCTTTTCCAGTTGATGTCAGGGTGATTGAAGTCCCCTAGCAAGAACAGGGCCTGCAAGTGTGATGTTTCCTGTAGTTGAAGTAGGAACGCTTCATCAACATCCTCCCCTTGACCAGGCAGCCTGTAGTAAACACGAACCACGAGGTTTCCTTTGTTGGCTTGGTCTCTAATTTTCACCGATAAGCTCTTGACCTGTACACTGCTGTTTTCCAAAGACAGCTCTGTGCAGTCAATCCATTTTTTTATGTAGAGGGCAACCCCTCCACCTTTTCTTCCTTGCCTGTCGCTCCTGAACAATTTATAGCCATTGACTACAGCGCTCCTATCATGTGAGTCCTCCCACCAAGTTTCAGCGACAGTGACCGGATCGTAGCTTTCCAGCTGCACAGTGGCTTCCAGCTCCTCCTGTTTGTTATCCATGCTGCATGCATTGGTATATAGACACTTCAGTTGGACTGCTGACACTCACCTTTTTGGTGGAATCTTTTTGGAGGGTTAGGGTCATTCCTCACTACTCCAGTAGGTACGTTCATCCACCCTGGTGCCTGTGAGTACACTAGCGTCACAGCTTTGCACCCCAACCCCCAAGTTTGCTAGTTTCAAGCGTGATTCACTGTCAGCCAGTCTGCCATCAATACTTTATGATCTCTCCCAGCATACAAAGTAGGAACAACAGGTGAAAAACTGGTAACTAGTTCGACATATACAAAAAGATATGACACTTCACATCACAGGCAATTAAGCTGGAGGCTCAATACCACAAAACATTGTGAATGCTAAAGATGCCCAGTTACTTTCTGAACCACATAAGAAGTTCGTGGAAAAGAGCAGTCCATGGATAGAAACTCAAAAGTCCCCAAATCACTTTTGTTGCATCTCTGCATGACCATTCTGTTCTCCTAGTATTTCTCAGGTATCTGATACTGGCTGCTGGTAGGAACAAAGCACAGACCTAGACAGAATGCTTTGAGTGGTCTAATACAGCAGTTTCTGTGCACAGAGATACATGTATCACTGACCAAATTATTAGTGCACTTTGAGCACAGTGCCCCAAAACCTGAACCAAAACAGTGTCTTCGGCGGGACAGGAAACAAATGAAGTGCAGAAAGAGGGAGGGGGCAAAAGAAGAACGGTACTTAAAAATACAGTTGCTATTTATAAACATTGTTGAGATTGTTTTGAAACAGAAATTGCTGTGGGAATGGTATAATGCTTGAGTCTGGATATTTGCATTTTTTTCTGTACAATTTTGAGCCTGCTGTACCTAAGATGTACATACTTAAAAAGTAATCATAGCCACAGACAGAATTTTCAGAGAAGCCATAAACAGAAATTAATTTTTTCAATAAAACAATACAAAATGCTGGTTACATATTTAATATACCAGTTAGATAACAACTACAGCAGCATCTTTTTAAAGAAATATTTGCTCTCATTGGTACGTTAAGGCCTGTAGAACCACAGATGGGACAGCAGACAAAATTCTATGGTAGCTCATATAAAAACTGGTCACCAAGTTCAAACAAAGTCAGTACAGGAGACAAAAACCTGATAACACAAATGCTGACCTGTCTGGATGACATCTGCAAGTTTATTATCAAGACTTAAGTCATTTTACTTCTAAAACATTCAAACTTCCTAAAGAAGTATTTGAGGAGGTACCTCTGTAAATCTTGATTCTTACATGGCCATTTTCAGTCATTTTTAAAAGAAAAATTTGTATAAAGAACATAGTTAATTTTTCTTTTACAGTTAAGACTGTATTTTTTCCACCAGCTGTAACCAAAAGTTAAATTGCTCATAATCACATTATATTAATATAAACGACACTTACACAAGGTTATTTTGGCAAGTACTTACGCAAAGGATTTTGCCCTTCACTGGCGTAATACTCGTACATCCCACTTTTGACAAGTGTATCGTAGTGGGGCAGGAAATCAATTCGCTCTTTGGTTGCTGAAAGCAGCATTTGATCAACTGACTGTAGCAGATACAATGTAACTCCATCTTGAACAAGTTCGCCTGCAGTGAAGATGAAATATAAAGTACATTGAAAAGAATTCACTGTACCAGTCAATTTCTGCTCTCACAACCAGTACAGGTTTAGCCTCGGGTAACATCTACATTTTCTTAGGCATTGACTACTCAGCCTCCTAGCAACAACATTTAATTTAAAATCTTTTCACGTTTCCAAGCTTAATAATGCAAGTTTTGTCAGGTGACAGCTACTTCCACGCCATTTTTTCCTATCATTTATGGAATTTGTAATGGAAGGTAAAAAATTACCTTGCATAACTGTCATCATACTAACAGGTAGCTGTTAAAAACTTCTTTGTGAAAGTCAATTTTGTACCAATTCTTGGCAAACTATTATAGGATTTGTACTTCCAGTTAACTATTGCATGTCATAGAATATAAATCATCATGCGGTCTTTACAATCAATATAAGAAATAGCTGTGTTTATTTTGCCATCTAAGATACTTACTGAAGTTGTCTTCTGTAATTTCCTTCCTGTTTGTTGTGGTGATAACAAAGTTTTCATCAGTAGCTATGCCAAATGCCTACAAAAATTGGAGGTTATTCAGTTATGATAACTATGTACTCCATAACGTATTCAGATAAATGAAAAAAAGAGCAGGCTTTCTATTCACTTTGCCATAAACTACTGAGAAGTGACCAAATATTTTTCCCATATTAACTCAGATGTGGAACACAGTTTAATTCCAGAACTTAACTTCATTTGCTTTCTCAACTCAGCCAAAACTGTCTGTACTAGAGCAGTTTGGTTTTTTACCTGCTTAAAGTATGTTCTAGCAAGCAACAGGAATTTTAAGGAGGAGGAACTGTCTTACAGGTAATCACCTTGAGGGCTGAGGAATGAGACTGAACAGCTTTACTTCAGACCATGCAACTACAACAGCAATAGTCATGATGTAGAAGGTGTCCCATGTTTAATTGCACTTCTTTGAGACATTAAACCAACCAAATACTTCTTAATGTTGGATGAACATTAAAGTCTTTTTTCTTCAGTTATATCATACATTTAAAAAAAAAAATAATCAAAGATTTCTTTTAGAAAATTCTTTACCATTAAAACACTTCTTTTGAACCTAAACAATCTTTGCCACTTTGCTGCCTCCAACTTTTGAATACATTTCTGTAGCTTTGGACTTTTTATCCTGCTTTCTACATACATTTATGTGCCTCTACATCTGCCCTCATTTTTTCACCCTGACGCCCAACACTAATCTCTTTCTCAAAATAATAAACTAAATATCCACATTTTCTCCTGTCTTTCCAAGTCTTTGAAACTCAAGTAAGTCAGCTCTGGCCTTGTTTAACTCCATCAACCCCTTCAGTCCTGCAGCCATGACTCCAGCAGGTGCTTTCTGCACATTTAGATTCTTCCCTGAGGCTCTTGCATTCCCTGTAGCAGCTTGCCCTCATCATTTCCCATACCTCTTTCTTTCCATCTGTAGTACTTAGAGTCACAAAAATATTTTTAAAACACTGCTTAAGGTTTCATTAGAAGTCTGCTTTCCATCTTTCAGTTACCTTCTCCCTAATGCCGACTATGTTAAAGATACAGTTAGTATCCATCAGCAAAATTAGCAAAATTGTCAAATTTTGCGTAGCGCTTGGTGCAAGTGAAACAAACGGAGACGACACAAAGAGATTGATGTTCAGACTTAAGCATCTGGAGTAATTACTACTCTTTAGTTCTTCTACATTCAGATCACTTCAACTTAACCTCTCATATTACACAGATTTCCACATGGCAAACCCATGCAGGAAAATATAATTGCTCAGAGCAAGGAAAATAAGTAATAAAAATTACAGATATTATAAAACTAACACCCTACTGTGCCATTCGAGGTTAATGGCTAATACAGAATAACTGAACTGGAGAATTTTACATTTGAAAGCACAGATAAGCATCTTTTCCCTCCAGGCATAATTACAGCTTCCCCGTTTTCTCTACCTCCCAAAAGCTCTTCTGCTCTCAAAACCTTATGAAGAGCACAATATTTACTTTAAGACAGCAAGAAGTGGGATGAGGTAGTGCATGCACAAGACAGCAGCCTGCTAACCAAGCAGGGGCAGCCTCCTCCTTCTGGTCCTCTCCCCATTCCATGGGTGAGCCTCAACTAAGCCGACCGCAACAGCCTCGCAGGCAGAGCTACACCTGCGTTTCCTGGGTGAGCCCAGCATTACTGTATCTAGCGGCAGCAGGTCCTTTCCAATTCACTCCAAATAGCTGTCATTTCAAGATAAGCTACAAAGCAGGTTCATGGACCAAGTCTGGCAGTCCTAATTACAGATAACCTGTTTTTCTTGTCCATGCTGCAATTCAAGAGGCCACATCCTTTGTAAACTTTGGCCAACTTAGAAAATGTCTCAGTTTGAAAGCTTCACTTGTATATAAGACCTATTTGTTTTACTTCCTCCTTCACTCTGTCCTAGACTCTTAGTTATTCCAGCCCGTCTCCTCCCACTATGCCAGCCAGTGGTGAGGTGGCTGCACAGTTGTCCCGTTATGTGGATGTGGCCTCCAGGAAGACGAGCTGGTCATCCCTGAATAAAAGTGAACCTACTGGGTAATTTACTTGAACAGTTGATGATGTTTCATTTGATTCTGATAAACAATGTTCGGTCAAATGTTTAATTTCCCACTAAGATTCTTCCATGCAAGAGACATCATGGTATCTTTTGTTGACTTGATATAAAGTTCAGGTTTCACTGCTAGCCTTTCAGCCTAGCACTGTGCCCTTTTTCAAACAAGCACTGAAGATGCACCCAATTCTTGACTTCAGAAGATTCATGTGACAACCTAGCAGTACGTTCAGATTATAAATCTGCTGGTTATTCTCTTGCAAATTGTCCAGATGCACAATCATGATCTAGCTTTTGATGTCATGAAAATCTTGAAGAGTACAATAGAATCACTATACTCAGAAATGCCTCTGCACATTCATGGTGAAAGCATGTTTGGAGGTTATTGTGTTAAAACAGCTAAGCAGAAAGCTTTTATTTTTGGGGAGACAAAAGAAAAGACCTTTGCAAAAAAAAAAAAAAAAAAAAAACAAAAAAAAAAATTTTTTTTTTTGGGGGAAAAAAAAAAAAAAACCTTTAAAAAAAAAAAAAAAAAAAAAAACAGACGAGCTCCAAAGTAATCCACAACCTAGGAGAAAAAAAAATAGTAATAATTATATGTTCTCTAAAAAGAGAGGCAGATATGTGAAAAGACAAGGATTCCTATTGGTTACATACAATCACTACATGCAAATGCAAAAGGGAAAATGTTACAAAGATGAACAGTTATATGCATACAAAAGAGAAAAAAGCCACCTAAAACCTGTAGAAGATCATATCAATGAACCAGATTTTGAATAGTCTGGGAAAACAACCATAGCTGTTCACTAAGAGTCATTTAAATTGTTTGCTAAGCCACACTTGGATGTATACTGAGTGTACACTCCAAGGTTTTGGTGCCAGAGGGCTGTAGGGGTGACCAGTACAGGGGGAGGTCATGAATTGCCCTGAGCCAGTAATAGCCAATGCCAGATGGCTCTCAAACTGATGGAAACAACCCACTGCGCACCAAAATTTCAACCAGAAGGGCACATGGTGCTTCTGCTCAAACATATCAGGGAAGAAATAGAGGAGACAAATGAGAAGCAACAGAGGAGATGCATCAGAGGAGACATTGCTAGGGACAGCACTGGAAACACATTGAAAGGAGGTGCTCCATGCCAGAGCAGGGACGGCCCCAAAGATGCTGGGGCCCATGGTGTACCCATGTCAGGGCAAGGAATTTCCCCTCTCTGTCCTCCTGCTCCCACAGGGCTGTGGACAACCCAGCAGAGCAGAAGAAAAACAGTAAAGAGCATGGAGGAGGAAGAGCAGCAGAGGGAAACCCTGCACACGGCCCTGGCTTTTCGCACTGCCTGTTGCCTCACCAAAGGCATTGGGATTGACCAAGTGTTGTGCACGGGGAGAACAAGGGAAGCTTAGACTAGGAAAGGGGAAAGAGAGGTGTATGACAGAAAATGAGCTTGGAGAAGGGAGAGGAAAGGCATTTCCCTAAGCGTTTGTTTAATTGCCCCCCCAATCAATAATCAAAATTTTGTGTTAATTGGCAGTAAGTTAAATTAAGAAAAATTCCCTGAGTCGAGCCTATTTTGCCCACAGCAGGATGTCAGTCATTATACCTATGAAATGATACATAAGCCAAAAAGCTGTCTTTGTTCAAACAAAAGAAATGCATTCTTTATAAACTGGAGGCTCAGTCTGGAGCACTGACTATGTTTCATGATAAATAAATAAAGCTAATAGCTCTTAATTTGTTGGTGGATGTTTATAACATGAAATTAATACAATGCTAAAAGGTAAGAGTTCAAAATAGCCAAATGAATGCCAGATACCCAAGAAGCTTTCAGCAGAGCAATTTACAGGTACAATATATGAAAGTGTGAATGAATAGTGATCTCTCTAATCCGTAAATCTGAATCAAGAAGCAAGGTTCAATTTATATACTTGCTCTAGTCACAGGTTTCATTTATAAACTAAGAAAACAACCCTCAAAAAAACCCACAACCCCATAAATCACAGACAACTCCTCAGCAGCTAAGACTCCTTCAAATAGGCCTCAGGTTTTTTTCTCTTTCACATATTAGGACTGTGGTGGGTTGACCCTGGCTGGATGCCAGGTGCCTATCAAAGCTTCTCTATCACTCCCCTCCTCAGCTAGACAGGGGAGAGAAAATATAACAAGAGGCTTGTGGATCAAGATAAGGACAGGGAGAGATTCACCATTTACTGTCACAGGCAAAGCAGACTCGACTTCGGGAAATTAGTTTAATTTATTACCAATCAAATCAGAGTAAAGTAATGAGAAAATCAAAACTAAATCTTAAAACACCTTCCCCCCACCCCTCCTTTCTTCCCAAGCTCAACTTTACTTCTGAAGTTCTTCTCTACCTCCTCCCCTCCGGCAGCACAGGGGGATGGGGAATGGGGGTTGTGGTCAGTTCATCACACGTTGTCTCTGCTGCTCCTTCCTCCTCAGGGAGAGGACTCCTCACACTCTTTTCTTGCTCCAGCGTGGGGTGCCTCCCATGGAAGACAGTTCTCCACGAACTGGTCACACAGCTCAGCTAACATGGGTGTTGTCCTGTCCTGGGCACTTTGCAGACCAGACCAGACCTTTCCTGGCTCTTCCCATCTCCCCTGCCCTCTCCCCAGCCCAGCCCCACAGAGCAGCCCAGCCTGGGCTGGCCCCACGGCAGTGCCCACCTCAGCCCACAGCCCAACACCCTCTGAAGGGAGCACCCATGGGCTGCAGGGGCACAGCCTGCCTCACCATGATCTTCACCAGGGGCTGCAGGGGGAATCTCTGCTCCGGCGCCTGGAGCACCTCCTCCCCCTCCTTCTTCACTAACCTTGGTGTCTGCAGGGCTGTTCCTCTCATGTTCTCACTCCTGTCTCTGGCTTCAGTTGCACATCAACTTTTTCCCCTTCTTAAATATGTTATTGCAGAGGTGCTACC